CTAACAGGTTGACTTGCCATGAAAGTGTATGGACAACGGGCTTAATGTGATTGCGCTAGAACAAACAGGGTGAACTTGACGCGAGAACCTTGATACCAAGCTACAGTAGCATGACTGAGACCGATTTGCATAAAAAGGAGACCTCCGAAGACTTGTAGTCCAGTGTCGTCACTGTACTCGTTTTGTTCCTACTAAGAATCCCGACTTTTCCCAACTTTGTGAATGAGGAAGCTGCCTCGTGCTTGCCGACTTTTTCCTGTTTTACTTGAGGACAAGCAAAGATTCAAACTTAGGGGAGTTTGATAACACGAAATCGTATATATATATATATATATATATATATATATATATATATATATATATATATATATATATATATATATTGATGCATAATTCAACTGATGTTTGACTGTTTCGATCCGATTTCGGGTTCATTCCATGTTATTTGTCTGATATTTTGCAGGTATTTGATAATCATGTCTAAACGAAGCAAGATGAAGAAAAGAAGCAATTACAGATGAAATATGGACGAAAACCAGATGAAAACAACATGAAAAACGCATAATGCATATTTTGCTGCTGTGACGACCGTCACACCTCCATGACGACCGTCACACACCATGACGACCGTCATGCAGGCAAAAACGCACAACTTCAAATGAACGTGCAAAATGCAGTTCCAAGTCCCAAATAATGGACCACTACTCCCTGATATTTCTGCCTCCAAGTCCACCTTCTTCAAATTACAACCGTTAGAATTCTATTTCTATAAAAGGGGAAGGAGGGGAGCTGAGAAAGGGAGCCGCATTCAGACAACAAAGTGCTGCCCAATTTTATTTCCAGAGCAAAAATTTAGTTTTATTCTTTCTGCTTTTTGTTTCCTTTCCTTATTCCTATATTCCATTTCGACAATATTCGTTTGTGCGCTCTATTGGTTTGAAGACATAATCCTGTCGACATCGTTGGGGTTTGGCCAAAAGCCAATTGGATACATTACAGATTTTTCATTATTTCGTTAATTGTAACTTTAATTATCAGTAATATGAATGTTCTAAGTTTCTGTTTTCATTTATGTTTTACCTTTCCCAAATCCATGTCTAGCTAAATCAGAGAAATCGATATGTAATAATAATTCAGACGGGATTTGATAATAACCGGTTGAAAACTTTCCTTCTTTCAAAAGTTGTTTATGGTCTGAGTGTTTAAACTTATTTACTGAATAAACGTTCGTCGCGAAAGCGATAACTTATTTAAAAGTAGTTTTGCCACGACAATGGGAAATTAATTAAGGTACGAACCAACAAGCGACAGCTGCGGTAAGACCAGATAGTAAACAGTAGGCATTTGTTTTAATAACAACGAAAGCACTTTAAAATGGATTAGAACTTAGAGATTTCCAAAAAGTAGTTTTAACCCCGAATGGGACAGCGAAAGCGCACATTCGACCCTTAGAATTATGACTAGCGTCAACAACCATCGTGAGACGAAAGTCTTCAGATCACTATTTTCTGCTTAAATAAATTCTGAAAAATATTTCATATACCGGTAACTTGTCAAATCCCCGAAGAACATAATTACTGCATATCGATTCACGTAATTATAATTCAAGTAACGTTTTTAGTTCCCTTTAGTGACAAAAATTATTTCCTTAAACATTATCTACCTAGCTAAACATAGTAACTCCCGAGAACACTAGTTTGATTACGAGTCCCCGTGGGATCGATATCTTTTATTACTACGCGATAGACTGTGCACTTGCAGTTAAGTTGTATTAGACATAGAAAGTCGCGATCAGGTACATAGGCACAAGATTGCAAAATCTTGGTGAGCCACCTTCCTCCATTTTCTTCCATTCTTCTGTCTCTCTCTAGTCCGTCCAGATCCCTTTCTTTTCCTTGGTTCCCCAAACTACAGAGCTCTGACTTCCTCATTGCACTATGAGGGTACGTAGGCACGAGGGCCCCAATCCTCCTCGAGCACTTTCTTTTCTTTTTCTTTTTTAGCTAGAAACCTTTATATATATAACCCATATAAGCATAGAAGCATGCGAAATGGTTCCCGTCGGGTACGACAAATTCTTAAGGTGTTAGTACCTCCCTTTCGCATAACTGACCCCCTTTCCCATTTCTCTTTCCCCTGGGTTTTATCGATATTTTCCTTGTCCTTCGGGATTAAATAAAGTTTGGTGGCGACTCTGTTGTATCTTTGAGTGTGCGATTCACTCGGGTATAATCCCGCTAGCTCCAGGTAGGTGTTAAAGAGAAAAGGGCATTACTTTGTCGCTCTCAACATAAAGTAATGTTGTTAGGATTTTCTCTCTCTAGCTGTTCTGAACTCTGCTATACTGCTATCAACATCTTTATGCTAGCCGAGTTTTTAACTCACTATATTGTACACCATGTAAAGACTTTTAACGACTACTTGTACCATGGTAGTTTCAATCTTCAACAAATCTATTCTCAACATCTATTTAAAAAAGAAGATTGAAAACATTCATAAGCTTTTAGAGAAAAGACTCCCGAGGAGATATCTCTTGATGGAATGAATGTTGGTTGAAGAAGGTGTAATTGTGTTCACATGGATGTGATACCAGTTCACGTAAATGATTGAGATAGATTGTGTTTAACAGAGAAAACATTTGAGAAAAAACACTCAATATAATTAGAAGGGTTAAGTGCGTGAGAGTATAGTGAGACATATTCACACTTGTTCTGAAGAAAGAATATGTGAAAATGATCGACATAACAGAAAAGGGCACAACAAGATGGAAATCTGTGTAAGGAAAGAAGAATAGTGAAAACTTCATTATTTTACACTAAGGAGAAAACAACTCATATTTTACTCAATAGTGTAAACCTTTGCGTATCTGCTTAACCAATAAGCATATATATACACACAAGGTTAATATATACCAGATTCTTCTGTTAAGAGAATCTGAAGACTCTAGCCTCTGTGCTCGTAGTAAGTCTTTTTATGGATAGATTGAGCATTGAAGTCTCATGCTTACGGGCAGAGCAAGAAGTCTCTTTCCGTGGGATTGAGCAGGAAGTCCTGAATGGGTTGTTTGGGAAAGGAAGTATCTTGCTTGAGGACTTGAGCATAAGTCTCTTTCTAGGTGATTGAACAAGAAGTCTTAAGTTGTTGGCTTAAGCAATTGTAATCATTCTGATTATAGTTAAAAGCTCTTGTGCTACAAGGAGACTGAACTAATCTCAGTTGAGAGGAACTAGGATATATCGCGTGTCTCTTTATTTACTTCTTCGTTTATATCCTATTGTGTAACAAACTCTAAAGTCAGATTTTGATCTGATTCAACCTCTTACTTGTATCAGAATATGAGTTTGTCACCTTAGGTTCTACAACATGGTTAAGAAAAGGAAGTAAACTTTTCAGTGCTGTTACTCACTTTGTTATCAAACTCTGAACATGATTCAAAATTTGATGTATCAAAATTTAAAGTGAAAAGAGATTTTTGGGCATACACAATTCAACTAATTCTTGTGTATTTTTCTCACATTAAAAAGTAACATCATAAATTAAATAAAAATTCATTTTATTTGGAGCATTTTTTTGTAACTTTCATTCCAGATGCTTATCAAACTCAATATCTCATTAATATACCACCTCAACGTTGCTTCCTTGAATGTCCCGAACATTAGCTTACATTTAAGGGAGTCAATGACACCTATTGTCGCCATCTTAGTGTTGATGGTAGTGATGCGCTCATGCAGGTTGATTTTTCTATCAAAAGTTACCAAGAACAACGGCTTGAAGTTCTTTGGTACGAGCATGTCCCAAATTTCGCCGGAGAGGGGCTGAGGTTTTAGGATCTCCGTGCTCTTGGATGAATCAAGCTTCTGTTGTTGAAAAAGATGCAAAATTTTATCTTGTAAGATTTTGTTGTTGCGACATAACTCTTCCATAACCACCTGCAACTTTGTTATCACTCCTTGATCGTTATTGTTGTTGTCGGCGATGCCACATATCACCATTATCTAATGATGATTACACCAACTAATGTTGTAGATGAGAGTACAATCTGAGTAAATTTATTAGATCTCACAATGGGCACCAACTATACTTGTTGCAAGTACAATAAAGTTTACCCTACTTGCGAGGATGCACAGTAGGGCTTTATGTTAAAATACATATAATAGTAAATCAATTGCCCAATTATCTAGCTAGGGTATTTGTAAGCTCAATTACTTGATCGAAAGGTAGCTGAGAAGATCAACTCTAATACTTAAAAATCCAACCACATGCTCCATAACTTTGACTTGATAGTGAAAGTGAGTGGAGTGATTCATCCTCCATAACAAGGATTGCAATTAACATATAAGGCTCAAGATGACTTTAGTTACTCCCAAAAACATGTGGCTTGATACATTCTCCCATAAACTATAAACTATGACTAAGGAGTATTGGACTAAAATGGATCACGTGCTCACCACCTAATCATGCTCATTTGCGCCCAAGTCCCTTTCATGTTACTTACACGCTGCAAAGTTAGTGAACCAAGCCGTTTGATGTCCAACCACAATGATTTCACTCCACAATCTCTCAAGCACGAAATTTAAAAAGATAATATCATTAAAATAAAATATTCCCTAATCCATAATTCCTTAATTACGAGGACGATGTGATTGAGGCCGTCCAAGCGAGTCCACCCCTAAAGTCATCAATCTTCAATCTAAAGTATTACTTTATGCCAAATAAAAGATAAAACGGAAAAATTATAATAGCAAAAATGAGGTGCAAAAAGACTTTACTTACTCATTTTTGTAATAATTTCAAAATTTGAGATAGGTCCTCTTGGAAAAAAAGAGAGAACATTTGGATTTCGCCTCCCGCCAACTCCCTAAAACACAAACCTCATTTGGCGCCCTAAACAATTCACTACTTCTCCCTCCAGATCCATTTTCCTCACACAAAATCAAAAGCCTTTAATCCTCCATTTCATTCAACCCGAACCTAACCAGTTACCAACAAAAAATCCCATCATGAAGATTCGGTCAGTGAAAATGAGGGAGGCTCACCCTCCAAAGGGCGGCCGTGTTTCCTTCTGCTCCGTCGTATGGGACCAGAAAGCCGAGCATCTCGTCACTGCTTCCTCTTCCGACGCCTCCGTCTCCATTCACAACCCTCTTCTTCCCTCCGCCGCACCTAAGATTCTCCGTCACCACCGTGACGGTGTTACTGCCTTAGCTCTTAGCCCTAATTCTACTTGCCTTGCTTCTGGATCTGTTGACCATTCCGTTAAGCTCTACAAGTTTCCCGGTATTGTACCCGTTTAATTTACTACTTAGCGGTTTGATTATGCTAATTTCCCCCAATGTTGTTTTATTGTTGTCATTTTTCTCTGATTTTGTAATCAATTGTAATTGCAACCTTTGGCACAATCCACTAGGGTATCCTTACAGTTTCGGCCCTCAGGACCGGGGTTCAGCTGATTTAGCATGATTTAGCATGATTTCATTCTATCCTCACACTTATAATAATTTAAGAAAATAAGTAAATAAATTAAACGTAATTGCAAGTGTGTTTGATAGCGACACAAACACCTCTTTTTTAGAGGTGTTAGTGCTACACAGTTCACTATTGGGCAAGTCTAGTTAGTAAAGACTTTGTTGCATTTTGTTTGTATATTTGTTGGTTTGTTTGTTTGATCTTAGGACTGATTGTTGGCATTTGACAGGTGGGGATTTTGAGACAAATATTACAAGGTTTACACTTCCAATACGTTCCCTGGCATTTAACAAGAAAGGAAGCATGTTAGCAGCTGCAGGTGATGATGAGGGGATTAAGCTCATAAACACAGTTGATGGTTCCATTGCAAGGGTTCTCAAAGGGCATAAAGGACCAGTCACCGGTGTAGCTTTTGACCCCAATGGTGAATATTTAGCATCTTTGGATTCAAATGGTACTGTTATCATTTGGGAACTCCACTCAGGGAGAAACCTTCACAACCTCAAAGGCTTAGCTCCTGATACTGGGCTAGATCTTTCAACCATGAATGTTCTTTGTTGGAGTCCTGATGGTGAGACTTTAGCCATTCCCGGGTTGAGAAATGATGTTGTGATGTATGATAGGGACACGGCTGAGAAGTTGTTCACGCTGAGAGGGGATCACAATCAGCCTATTTGTTTTTTGTGTTGGTCCCCCAATGGCAAGTATATGGCTACCTCTGGTTTAGATAAGCAGATTCTGATATGGGATGTTGATAGGAAGCAGGATATTGACAGGCAGAAATTTGATGAAAGAGTGTGTTGCATGGCATGGAAGCCGGTTGGGAATGCATTGGCTGTTATCGATGTTAAGGGGAAGTATGGTATATGGGACAATGTTATCCCTTCATCTATGAAGTCTCCAACTGAGGATATACCTTTGCAGGGAAAGAACAGCAATGGGCTTCTTTTGTTTGATGAGGAGGATCAGGACAATAGTGTCAGTGGGAGCTTGAGTGATCTTGGTGAAAATAGTAATGGTGAGTTTGAGCCACCAACTAGCAGGAAAAGATTGCGCAAGCATTCATTGAGTGAGGAAAATTTGAATGAGGATGAAGAAGGAATTGATCTTTATCCAAAGGTTGAATCTCACAAGAAAAGAAACCGGTCCACCAAGGAAAATTTGGATAATGGGAATGTAGAATTCAGAAGCACAATGGTAACATCAAAAGCAAAAATGCAGGAGGCATTTCAATCAGGAGCCACTCCAGTGCAGCCGGGGAAAAAGCGCTTCTTATGCTACAATATGCTTGGAAGTATAACCACTGTCAATCACGACGGATCCTCTCATATTGAGGTAATACATGTGAAGAAAACCATATATTATTGAAGCTTAAATTTATCTCCGATTGTATTTGAGCTAAATAATCAATTCTATAGCATATGTTAATGAGTTGACATGTCTTTGTTGCAGATTGATTTTCATGATACTGGAAGCAGTCCCCGAGTTCCATCAATGACTGACCATTTTGGATTCACAATGGCTGCATTGAATGAGAACGGAAGTGTCTTTGCAAATCCTTGCAAGGGGGAGAAAAACATGAGCACCCTCATGTATCGCCCATTTAGTACTTGGGCTAATAATAGTGAGGTGAGATTATGTACTTCTACTATTCACATTCTTTTTTATGGAAGAAAATTATTGCACCACCTTTCAACTTTTTATTGCTATAAAAACTTGGAACATTTCAGTTCTCGTGGTTAATTAACAGTGTGCATGATATGAAATTTTTACTGCGTGCTCACTTTGTTGAATTTTTATTGCAGTGGTCCATGCGCTTTGAAGGCGAAGAAGTAAAGGTTGTTGCACTTGGTGCTTCTTGGGTGGCTGCAGTAACTAGTTTTAACTATCTTCGTATCTTTACCGAGGGTGGTATGCAGGTTTGTCCAACATTCACTTCTTATTTTATTGAATACCAGAAGCACCCCCAAATTTTAAGTATTTATTTGCACATTTCTGAATCTATTTCATTTCAGAGAAATGTTATTTCACTAGATGGGCCAGTGGTGACTGCATCAGGTTTCAAGGATGCACTGGCACTTGTCACTCATGCTTCTGACTGCCTTTCCTCAAATGATCAGGTTGGTTCAACCTTCATGGAAGCTGTTGCTTTCGACACTGGCGCATTCAGTATGGTTTTATCTAGTAGTACAGGTACCAACATTAAATGATGTTGCCTTTTAATGAAAAGATATGTATTTCCAAAATGCAGGTGCTAGAGTTTAGGTTATTCAATATACCACAAGGGACCCAACCTCTTCGAGGTCGTTTGCCAATAACTCCTGGTTCCTCTCTATGTTGGTTTGGATTTAGTGAAGAGGGCCAATTGTGTTCTTACGATTCAAAGGTATTACTTGTGTTTACACTAGTGTTAATATTTGGTATTTATTCCATTCTTTCTTTTGAATGCATATTGTCATACCAGCTAATTTTGTAAGTAAAAATATGCAGGGTGTGCTAAGATTATATACAAGCCAATTTGGTGGTAGCTGGCTCCCAGTTTTCAGGTTCAATATTCGTTCAACCATTTGTATTCATCTAATCTTCCTAATATTGTTCTTGTGTTGGGCTTGTGATTTGATTTATTAAAATTTCAATGCAGTGCTATTAAAGAGAAGAAGTCAGATGAAAACTATTGGATGGTTGGTTTGAATTCAAACAAGTTAGTTTGTGTTGTATGCAAAAAACCTGAATCCTTCCCACAGGTATGAGTATGAATATGACAGTTTGGTGTATTGATTATATTCCCATTTTTCCTTGTGTATGACTAAAACATCAATTGCTATTCACTTACCCATCAGGTGGTGCCTAAGCCGATTCTCACTTTAAAGGATCTTTCATTTCCACTTGCTACCTCTGATTTGGGATCCGAGGCCCTTGAAAACGAGTTTATGATGAACAACATGCATCTCTTTGAGGTTTGTTCTAGTAATCTCTTCAAGTCTTATGGTCATAGTTTTTGCTAACATCTAGCTATTGGCTCTAATTTGAGTTCAAATTGTTGTCATCATTTCTGTTCAATAGCTAAAATTCTAAATACATAACATGCAGATTCAGAAAAAAATAGAAGAAATGGATAATGCTGGTTTGGATGTTAGTTTACTTGATGACGAAGCTTTCAATTTGGAAGCGGCACAAGATAGATGCATACTAAGGCTTATAGCATCCTGTTGCACTAGTGAGTTCCTATGTTATCTCTGTTTCCTTTTTGTAATCTGAAGCATAAAAGTGAAAAGTAGTCATACGTCACAATATTTCAGGTGATAAACTTGTGAGAGCTACTGAACTTGTAAAGCTTTTGTCACTGGAGAAATCAATGAAAGGAGCAATAAAACTTGTTACTAATCTTAAGCTTCCAAATTTGGCAGAAAAATTCAACAGCATATTGGAGGTAATCTTGCTATATTTTAACAAAATGTTGGGTACAAAGGCTGTTATTTCATTGTCATATTTACCTTGTGAATATTCCTGCTATGTGTAAAATAGGAAAGGCTACTTCATGAAGCTAAAAAGACCACAGAAACCAGCCTCAAGGAAAAAAGTTCTGCACCCATTATATCCGATTCTCTACCTAGCGGAAGCAAGGCCTCAATGCCGACAGAAACATCAAAAGCATATACTGTTTCATCATCAAAATTATCTGCACCGTCGTTCATAAAGAAAAATAAAACACAAGACTCAACTAGAGATGGAGTGAATAAAACTACAATGGTGAATGAAAGTACTAATTTAAAGCAGACAGGAGAAAGTGAAACAAGTGATAAGAAGGGTAAGGAGGAAATGCAAGCTCCTCCTCAATCACATGGTACTTTTATAAAGTCAGAGCCTGGTTTGGTGACAGCTAAAAGACCATCCAATCCATTTTTGAAGTCCTCAATCAAATGAATCTATTTATCTAGGTTAATGACATAGTTGTTATGCAGAGATTAAATGTCAAGATATGGTGTTTAAAGGAGTGGCTTGCTCCTTATTTACTATTGTAGTAATCTTAATATAAAGATTGCTAATATTAGAAGCTAAGAAATATATGATTGTGACCTAATTGAAAATATGGGCGTGCAGGGTACCCCTGGGTTCAAGATGTTGGTGCAAAGATAGAATAAATGATGAAATAGGAAATATTACTAATAAGAGAATGACGGCTACAAAACATGATGATTTGTTACAATGATTGTCACCCTATTTATAAGCTAAAACTAGGGTTACTAGAATAAGATAAATACTAAAATACCCTCTAACAAACTTAGGGGCTAAGAAAATAGTACAACTAAATAAATATGAATTATTAATAATATTCTAATACCATCCCTTAATTCATATTCCATCAAAACTTGTGACACCAATTCCATCCCTTAATCTGAGAAATTGATCAGTCTTGATAGCTTTCGTCAGAACATCTGCCAACTGCTTCTGAGTGCTGCAGTGTACAACTTCTAACACTCCACTCTGAACTTGATGTCTCAGAAAATGATACTTGGTCTCAATATGCTTGCTTCTCCCATGCAGCACTGGGTTTCTGGCAAGGTTGATTGCAGACTTGTTGTCAATCATCAACTTCAGAGGTTTGTCTACTTTAATCTTCAGATCCTGCAACAGATTCAGAATCCACACAGCTTGGCATGCAGTAACAGCACCTGCAATATATTCAGCTTCACAGGTTGACAGCGCCACAATAGGTTGCTTCTTGGAACACCAAGAAATGGGACCTCCCAGAAATTTGAACAAGTACCCAGATGTACTTCTTCTGTCAACTCTGTCTCCACACCAATCAGAGTCTGAATAACTCAGAAGTTCTGACTCATTATTTCCTCCAGAGGGAAATAACACTCCATACTTCAGAGTTCCTTTGATATACCTCAGAATCCTGACAGCAGCTTGGTAATGGGACCACTTAGGTTTACTCATGAACCTACTAACCATCCCAACTGAGTAGCAAATATCAGGTCTGGTATTGCACAGATACCTCAGAGAACCAACCAACTGTTTGAAGGTTGTAGCATCCACATCCTTTCCTTCAGAGTCTGAATCCAGTTTCTGATTTGTATCAGAAGGTGTGACAGCCATCTTACAATTCTTCAGATCAAATCTCTTCAGAAGTTCTAATTCATACTTGAGCTGATGCAAAATGATACCTTTCTCAGAATATCTGAACTCCATCCCTAGAAAGTATGTCATTTTGCCTAGATCAGTCATTTCAAATTCATTCATCAGAACCTTCTTGAACTTGGCTATCTCATGTTCAGAACTTCCAGTCAATAGTATATCATCAACATATAAACATACCAGAGTCATATTGCCTTCAGAAGTATGCTGAACATAGACACCGTACTCCATCTCACATTTCTGAAAGCCCTGCTTCTTGAAAAATGAATCAATCTTCTGATTCCAAGCTCTGGGCGCTTGTTTCAGTCCATATAGAGCTTTGTATAATCTGTACACCATCCCTTCCTGATTCTTTTTCTCAAATCCAGGAGGTTGTGACACGTAAACTTCTTCTTCTAATGGACCATTCAGAAATGCAGATTTTACATCTAAATGCATCAGAGGCCAATTCCTGTTAGCAGCTATTGCAATCACCATTCTGATTGTTTCATGTCTTGCTACAGGTGCAAACACTTCAGAATAATCCAGCCCAGGTTTCTGTAGAAATCCTCTGGCTACCAACCTTGCTTTATGTTTGCCAATTGAACCATCTGGCTTTAACTTCTGCTTGAAAACCCATCTGACGCTGATGGCTTTCTTGTCTTTTGGAAGTTCTGTCAGCTTCCAAGTCTTGTTTCTCTCTATAGCATCAAGTTCTTCTTTCATGGCCTTCAGCCAGAGCTTCTGCTTAAGAGCCTCCTCTGTACTTATAGGTTCAGAGTCTACTAACATGGCACACTGAATAACTTCTCCTTCAGAGTCTACTTCAGTGTCTTGCAGCATGTCAAATTCTGCAAATCTTCTGGGAACGCTTCTGATTCTTTGTGGTCTCTGAACTTGTTCAGAGTCTTGAGCTTCAGAGTTTCTAGCTTCAGATGATTGACCTCCAGAGCTTTGACCATCTTCAGAGTCTGGCATATTTCCAGAGTCTGAATTGCCACCAAGATCTGGATTGCCATCAGAGTCTGAATCATCAGAGTCTGGGTCATCAGAGTCACCTTCATCTTCTGAGTCATCTTCAGAGTTTGAATCAGTATCAGAGTCAGAGTCAACGTCAGAGTTTACTTCAACTTCAGAAATTCTTAACTCTGGCCTTTCTTCAGAGGTTCTAACATCAGAATCAGATTGAGACTTATCCCAATTCCAAACTTCTGATTCCTTCACAATCACATCTCTGCTGAATTCAATTTTATTGGTTTCTGGACAATAGAGCTTGTATGCACCTGTACTGTGGTACCCTATCAGAATCATCACTTTGCTTCTATCATCCAGCTTTTGTCTTCTGGCTTCTGGAACATGTTTATAGCAAACAGAACCAAATACCTTCAGATGACTAACACTTTGCTTGTCTCCAGTCCACTTCTGCATAGGAACTATTTCCTTCAACTTCTTCGTAGGACATCTGTTGAGTACATACGTTGCAGTGGCAACAGCTTCTCCCCAGAGCTTCTGAGGAAGCTTCTTCTCCTTTAGCATGCTTCTCACCATATCAAGCAAAGTACGGTTTCTTCTTTCAGCAAGACCATTGTGTTGAGGGGTATAAGGAGCAGTAACCTCATGCTCAATTCCATTCTCCTCACAGAACTTCTGGAACTCTTTGGAGTTATACTCACCTCCACCATCAGTTCTAAGAATCTTCAACTTCTGACCACTCTGATTCTCAGCCTTCATTCTGAACTTCTTGAATTCATCAAACACCTCGTGTTTGAACTTAATAAGGGATACCCATGTCATTCTTGTGAATTCATCAACAAACAACACAAAGTATTTATTCCCTCCAATTGATGCTACTGGAAATGGACCACACACATCAGAGTGTACAACTCCCAAGGCATGTTTTGCTCTTGGAGCAACTTCTGATGCAAATGGCAATCTTGGTTGTTTTCCTTCCATGCAAACTCTGCATGACTTTTCAGGCTTCTTAATTGCAGGAATTCCATGTACCAATTTCTTTGAATTCAGATGTTGTAAGCTTCTGAAATTCAAATGACCAAATCTTCTGTGCCACAACTCACTCTCCTTCTCAGTACTTGTTGCACTAAGACACTCTGAGTCTGCAGTTCTGACATTCACCTTGAATGTTCTATTCCTTCCCTGTTCTGACTCCATAATCAACTTCTGATTACAGTCATACAGCTTCAGAAGATTGTCCTTCATGGTAACTGAGAAACCTTTCTCAATTAATTGTCCCACACTCATCAGATTGCTTCTGATGCCAGGTACATACCACACATTCTGAATCAATGCTATTTTCCCATTGTTCAGAGTCACTCTGACATTTCCCATACCTTATGCATTAAGATATTTGTCATCAGCACATCTGATCTTTGTCCTCTTTTCAGAGTCAAAGTCAACCAGCCATTTCTTGTTTCCAGTAAGATGATTTGAACAGCCAGTGTCCATATACCACCAGTCTGTCAGATCCACATTATCAGATTCAGAGGCCATCAACAGCACAGATTCGTCATCAGAGCCTCTGGCTATATTTGCTTCTTCTGATTTCTTCTCCTTGTTTGACCAACAATCTCTAGCAAAATGGCCAAACTTCTTACAACAGTAACATTGTATTTTTCTTTTGTCATACTTCTCTTTTCCCCTCTGAGCATTCTTTTGTCTATCAGAGGTTGAGCTTTCTGACTTCTGACCACCATCAGATCTTCTCCTGGCTTCTGACTGCTTCTGATACCTCCTATCAGAAGTTGCTTTCAGAGCCTGCTGTTCTACTTCCTTTTCAGAGTTTCTCTCAGTCAGACGCAACTCTTGCGCTTCTAGACTGCTCTGCAGCTCTTCAATTCTCATTGTGCTCAGATCTTTGGAATGTTCTATTGCTACCACAATGTAATCAAACTGAGGAGTAAGGGATCTCAACACTTTCTCCATGATTGTTTCTTCAGAAAGAGTTTCTCCACATGCCTTCATCTCATTAGTGATCAGAATCACTCTGGAGATGTATTCAGAAACTTTCTCATTATTCTTCATGTTGAGATTCTCATATTGCTTTCTCAAGGACTGAAGCTTCACCTTCTTCACTGATGCGTCACCACCATAACATCTCACCAGAGTGTCCCATGCAGCCTTTGCTGTTGTAGAGTCTGCAATCTTCTCAAACACGTTTACATCAACACATTGATGAATGAAGAACAATGCTTTCTGATCCTTCTTCCTTACTTCCTTCTGCGCGTTTTTCTGTTCATCAGTTGCATCTGCTGCTACTGGAACATAACCATCAGTGACAAGATCCAGAACATCTTGAGCACCAAACAGCACACGCATCTGGATCATCCAACGATTCCAGTTTTTACCGTCAAATACTGGAAGTTTGGTGTTCATGTTGCCGTTTCCGTTCATCTTCTTCTTTGCACAATACACTCAGAGTTTTTCTCACACAGTGTTTCCCAACCCACAGAATTAAAAAAATTCTGATCAGATTTTGTTCAAGATTCAACAAGAATCTGAGAAACAAAATCAAACACACAAGACCTCACGTTCACTCGTGTTTCCCGTGTTTCCCAAGAATCTGAACCGGAGCTCTAGATACCAATTGTTGGTGCAAAGATAGAATAAATGATGAAATAGGAAATATTACTAATAAGAGAATGACGGCTACAAAACATGATGATTTGTTACAATGATTGTCACCCTATTTATAAGCTAAAACTAGGGTTACTAGAATAAGATAAATACTAAAATACCCTCTAACAAACTTAGGGGCTAAGAAAATAGTACAACTAAATAAATATGAA